ACTCCTGGGTTCTCTCCCCAGCTCCGGGAGGGGAGTGGGGGCTGGTGGGTTAGAACGGGGGGGCTGGGGGCCAGGACTCCTGGGTTCTCTCCCCAGCTCCGGGAGGGGAGTGGGGGCTGGTGGGTTAGAACGGGGGGGCTGGGAGCCAGCACTCCTGGGTTCTCTCCCCGGCTCTGGGAAGGGTGTGGGGGCTGGGAGCCAGGACTCCCTGGTGTGCATCCCGGGCTCTGTCACGAAGTCATTTCACCTCTCGGTGCGTCAGGCTGCCCGCGCCGTGGAATGGTGTTAGCTCAGCTCGTGCTGCTGTTTCCGTGCTGTGAGGAGGGCTGAGTGCGGGGAGCAGAGCAGGGAGAGACTGTGTGAAAAGTTGGTACAAAGGTCCCATTGTGCCAGGCGCTGCACAGACCCCTGGGCTGAGATGCGGGGGGCTGCGGTGCTAAGCGCAATGTGACATTGTGAGGTGACTCTCTTGTCTCCTCCCTGCCCTGCTGAATATGTAAAACCTTCAGCCGCCTTCCTGTGCCCTTGTGAGAAATTAGTTTAATGAGGATCTTGAGTAAATCAATTAAGAGGAAAGCGAGTCGCACAGCACGAGCCCCACGCTCTGTTAGTCTTCTGGAGTCGTTCCTTGTACTGGGCGATGATTCCTCTGCCGAGACACCCGTCTAATATAAGGGGCCAATAGACCAGCTGGAGAACCCAGAACAGAGGGTCTTGTCCTCTCCCCCCTGTGTTGAGCCCCGTCACTAAAGCTCCGGGCTGGGTGGGGAGAGGAGGAGATGGATCCACCGCTCATACACATTTTCCGACCAGTCTCCTGGGCTAACCTGCCCCTGTACACACCACCCTCCCCCAAAGTCTAAGACGAGAGCCAGTGTGCCAGGACCCGGGGAGGCCGGGCAGGGGGCTCCGTGCACCTGCGGCTAACCCTGGGCGGGGGTTTGGAGGCGGTGTGGCAAAGGAGCATTTGAGGAGGCGGCTGTGGGGAGCTGTGGGAGAAGGCGCTCCAGTGGGCGATGGGCTAGTGGCTCTGATAGCAGCTGGGGGCGGCAACTCGAGAGAGAGGATAGGGTGGGTGGGGAAGGGCCTGGAGACGGGAACTGAAGGGTTGGTGTTTGAGCCAATGGAGAACAATGGGGGAAACCTTGGTCTGGGGGGTCTGTGCAGCCTCTGGAACAATGGAGGGCCCTGATCTCGGCCTGGGGGGGGTCTGTGTGGCACCCGGTGTGATGGGGACCCCAGTCTGAGTCAGGGAGCACCATCAGACACTATGGGAGCCCTGATCTCCATCGGGCGGGGTCTGTGCCACACTGACGTGAGAGGGTCTCCCGTCTTGGTCTGGGCTTTGTAGATTCTGCCTTGCTACAAGTTACATGCACATGGGAGCAGGGCAGAGAGAGGGGTGGGGCGCCAGGACCCCCTGCTCAGCGCTGTTAACCTGGCTGGCTGGTCCTGACCGTGTGTCTGAACCAGGAACTACTCAGCCAGCAGGAGCGGCTGCCTCTGGTCTGGAGCAACGCCCAGCTCTCCTGGGCTCGTCCCTCCCCCTCCAATATAGGTTAGCATTTGGCACGTGCTGCGCGCCCGGGGGGCCACATGGCGTCAGGCCCCGGCCATGGTATTAATAGCTCTGCGGTATGATACGGTGCCGAGACCCTGCCCAGCACCACCTGGGAATTGGAGGGTGGGCTGGTGGGGAGTGGGGGGGGGGGGAGAAGGGCTCTCCGGGGCAGGCTGGCATGGGGAGGGTCTGTTTGTGGCACAGTCACCCCTGACATTGTCTCTCTGTTCCCCCCCAGGACCCCGCCGGCATATTCGAACTGGTGGAGGTGGTCGGGAACGGGACGTATGGACAGGTCTACAAGGTGAGTTCTCGGCCAGCCCACCCCATCCCCGGGCACCGCCCAGAGCCACCCAAAGGCAGGGGCAGTCTTCTCAGCGTGACCGGAGACGGGAGCTCTGCCCTGCCCCCACCCGCTAGGGGACGGTCCCACATTCCCAGGCTGGGGGGGAGTTTTAACACCGCCCCCCTCGGAGATAGAGAGGTCTCGTGTGTGTGACCGTTCATTGCCACGACAAATGCCCCTCTGGCTGCTGGGGAAGGGGGGCAGGGAGGGGAGAGCTGTCTTGGTGGGTGCTGCACAGCGCCCCTCCCCCAGCTGAGATCAGGGCCCTCTGAAGCCTCCCCCTTCCCCCACAACTGAGGCTGCGCAGACCCCCAGGGAGAGACGGTCCCGGCCCCCCAGCGCCAGCATGCTATAAATAGCTGAAGGATTGGAATTCCGGACAGACACACAGTGGGGCGGTAATTCTCCCCCCCCCGGTCAGAGCCAGGACTGGAACTTGGGAGTCCTGAGGACTCCACGGCATCCCGTGGCCGTGAGAACAGAGCCCTGTGTCCCCTCGGCCAGCCCCGCTCACCCTGTGCTCCTGTGGTGAGAACAGTGCTGATCTGTAGGGTGGTACTGCCTCAGGGCCCTGTCACTGTGCTAGGCTGGGTGTCTTATTTATTAGGTGTATTATGGTAATGTCGGGGTACCCCAGCCGTACCCAGGGCGCCGTGGTGCTGGGCGCTGTATGTTATTAGGTGTATTATGGTAGTGTCAGCGTAGCCGTGGCCAGGGCCCTGTGGCGCTGGGTGCTGTACATTTAGGTGTATTACGGTAGTGTCAGCGTAGCTGTGGCCAGTGCGCCGTGGCGCTAGGCGCTGTACAAACACAACCCGAAGCGTCACTCCCGGCCCCACGGAGTTGACGTTCTCAGTCGCTCGTCCCCCAACCTCCGCAGGCCTGGTGCGGTCCTAGCCCTCGTTCAGTGGGCCCAGCGAGCCGCGCTCCAATACCCAGCGCAGCCGGCACAGAAATCCTTCCTCAGCTCCAACCGATTAGCTGCAACCCCCAGGCTGGAGGCGGCACGTGGGCTCGGCCTTCGAGGAGAGCGTGGGGGGAGCTGTAAGACCCCACTTGAGCAGGGGGTTTGGCTGGCAGGACCCTCGCTGTCCCACCGGCTGGATGCGCGCAGCCACTCCTGTAATAAATACGTCTCGTGCGGGGCCCAAGCTGTGTGCAGCCCGGCACACGGTGGGTGTGGTGATACTGC